GATGCCCAAGGAGTGGAAAACTGAATAAAGACCTAGGTGTCTACATTTAATCAGGTGAACCCTATTCTATATGGGCTGCCTGAACAACCATGAGTTTTATCCACAAGTCTTAAATCCACATGAAAACAACTCAGTATATGGAGCACTTCCTAGGTTTGTGGTTTGTGCAAAAAATGTCTGCTAAAGAAATGAAGAAAGTTTTCTTCAATACAAAAAAAATTTTGAAAAGGAAGCTCAGAGACAGCAGGTGAGAATCATATCCCTGCTTTGGTAGCAAGAAGGATAAAGAGGAAGTTTAACAGCTCCTTTACCCCTTTCCACCACTGCCTGGCCTTATTCAGAGGCATAAGGAGGCACAGAACGTGCTTCTCAACAATATGGGTTGATGACTTTATGGTGCAAGCGCACTTGCAGCGGGATCCACACCAGCACATTCTCGAAGAGCTGCAGAATCAGCCAAGTTGGTTCGTACAAGTCCCTTTTAATTGTAATGTATGAGTATATCAGAACATTTAACAGGTTTATCTTTACAACATCTCCATGAGATAGGATAACTCCATGTTTTCCTGTCTCTTTCATTACAGTCATCTGTTGCTGTAGAATTGTCAGAGATATCAGTACAAGCTCTGAAAACAGGAATACTCCAAGTGTTTAAGAAACCGTCTGAACACTTGGACTATTCAAGAAAGGACCTCAGAACAGATTGATGCTTTAAAGAAAAATAAACAAACAAATAAACAAAAACACTACCCCACATAGTACTCCTTCACGTTACGGAATACTTCATCCTACATAAAAAAAGAAAAAAATATCTTTGCATTTTGCATTCATTGTAACATTCTTTTAATTTTAAAATTTGGAACAATCCTCTTTTTTTAGAGCTTAAGGTGAATAGCTAGAAATACACATAAAGAATCAGACAAGGTTATAAAATGCATATTAGCTTAAGTAACTGTTTTTCAGACTGATGGATTTATGAATTACAGTAGAAGAGGGATTGATCTATATTTGTAACATTTTTCAATTTTAGCAAGCATTAAAAATTAAAGCTGTGATCATATGTATTGGAACAGCAGGTTTAAAATGTTTCAGTGTCAACTTCAGCATGATAATTGGGACTAAAGCTAAATACATACTTTATTATATTAACCTAAGCTCAGGGTCAGAGGTATTAGAAGATAGTCACAACCTAGCCACTAAAAGTGAGGGACTAATGAATGATTTTTCGTCTGATGTTTCTGTTTGTACACTGATTTGCCCTGCCTCTATCACTCACTACAGACTGACAGACAACTCCATCATTAAATAGCTAGTAGACGCAGTCCAATTTCACGTGGGTTTTGGCCAAATTTGGAAACAGCACTAAGTGCAGGCTACAGAGAACCTGAAATACAGGCACAATTTTACTTCAGATCTGAAAATTTCAAACTCAGTGGGATGACACTGGAACATCATGCACTGGCAGAACAAAAAGCTTTCATCTTCACTCTTGGTTCTAGGAATTTACTGCAGTAAATTAGCTATTGAAAGGCTTATTGGTTTTGCCCTGAATGAAAAAAATCTGCCAAAAAGCACAAGGAAATAACCAGAAATGGCCAGGATGAAAATTTAATAGTTAAGAACAAAAGAAATCTTTCAATTAGTTTACCCTAACATGCATGAGTACAGGATTTCCAGTAATAATAAACTACTAGTCAGCATTTAATAAAAAATTTTACTATAATATTGATTGAGAAAATAAAATCTATGTAACATTTCAAGATAATTAAAAACATAACTAGTGCTATGCCTTCTCCCTCTTACTGGAAGATACCAATACTGTAAGATAAGGGAAAGGTATTTTAGTTTGGCTCCCTATAAAAACCGACACAAGGTCAGACATAAAAGGGGTCATGTTAGAGACAGCACAATTTGACTTAATTAAGCCCCTTATCTTTTCTCAGATTCTGATGTCCCATGATTTAGAAACTCTAGAAAGGAAGAAATTGGTATATTTTTGTATACTTTACAAAATAATTATTTTCTCAATGTATTGTTATATTCATCAGCTAGATATAGAACTCTGTTGCTATCCTGCAACAAGAGACAAAGCCTTTTGAAAGAGGAAACACAATTAGAAAGAAATAAAATGTAATTTCAGAATTAACACATGTAGCTACGTATGTGTCTATAGCAGCACAATTTTGTATACTTATTAACAAAATCAAATTACATGAGAGGTTTTCCCTATCACATATGGTAAATTTTGAGTTCTGTAACAGAAAATATTTAACATTTTATCTAAGTATTAACAGAATATAATTTCAGCTCCAGCCTACAATGATTATTTATTGTCCTAGCCACTTGTATCACAGAATGTATTATTTGCATCTCAAATCCATACTAATAGGATGATGCAATACAAATATATCAGTCTTACAGGGGAAATGGCACAAATCTGTTACACAAAAAGGTAAAGAATTGCAGAAGAGTCTTTCTGGGTCTTAGGTTACATTACTTATTATAGAAGTGGGCAGCGATATTGTAAACTGATCGTCATCCATTTTAAATTTTGTTAGGGATTTTGGTTTGAGAATTTTTGCCTTTACCACTCCTACTGGTAGGTTGTTTCAGAAACTCACCATTTTGGTAGTTAGACATCTTCCAGTCTCCAGCATCAATTTATTCATTGCCAGATTACACTGCCCCATGCTCTCTTTTCTCCCATAATCCAATTAAAACCAATGAGATTAGCCAAATAAATAAAGCAAATTGGAACTTCATGCATTACAATGTTTTTTAAAAAACTTGTTTAAAACCCCATGATTAGATACTTATTTCTTTCCCAGACACTGAGCACATATTCAAATTATTTTTAAGACTATTGGTGATTGGATTTGTGCCAAAATACAGGAATAAAGATGTAATAGCTAATGCTGTGAGGATAATAAATATTAAAAATTACAAAAATTAAAAGACAAAAAAGCAATGCTTTCATCAATTTAATTCCAACAGTACTATCCCTGTTAACAAAAGATAACCAAAGCAAGCACTTTGATACACATTTCTTATTACCACATAAGATGCACTTCACAGAGTTATGGCTAGAAGGGCTCATTAAATCATTTGTATAACACTGTATGCAGATAAACTGCCTGCATATCCAAGATCATAAATTCACCTGATTACTGCTGCATTAAGCCCCATCAGCTGCATATGACTAAAACACAACTGCAAGGGAGACACCCATCCTTGATCAAAAGTGTCAGGAAATGGAGAATCCAGGACTGCCCTTACACGTTTGCTCCAGTAGTTAAACTAAAAAAGCACGTTAATTTTATTTTGAAGTGTCTCACTTTAATTCACTGTTTAAAAATAAAACGACATTATTTCCATAGTTCAGCCTCTATTTCCAGGTGATTCTTGGTTTTGATTCCCCCTGAAATAAAATATCCTGACTATAGTATATTTTCTGCCTGTGTATTTCAACTTCACAGACTCACTGCTCCACTGTTTACAGGTCACTTACACACTTTTCACCATAGGCTTGCACTGGACATTCATGTGGAAAAAAAAGAAAAAAAAAAAAGAAAAAAAAAAAAGACCAACCAAAACTTCAATCTAGCGCAAAATGAAGTTTCACTCTCAGGTCACCAGTAATCATTGCAGATCTTTATGCTCTAACATATATTTACTGTTCCTAGAGGTGTTGTATTTGTTTGCACTAAAATGCATTTTGTTTGAACCAATTCAGTTAACAGATCACTCTACTGGACAGTCTGACATAACTGTTATCTTTTACCAGTCTTTATTCTATCTGCTCCCCAGAACTGTGAAAAGTGCAATCATCATCTGGTTTTTTTGGACCAGATTTTGATACCAAATTCTTACTTGGTCTTAGACAGTCTTTAATAACATAAGATGCTGTTCACAGTAATACATTATATTGTGCAAATAAATCTGGCCCTCGATAGAGAAAGAATAATTTGCTTGTATTTATTCAGAGTCATTCAATTTCTTGCAAACTCAACTGTATTTCTCAAATAAACAGATACAGACAGAGTTTAGGGAAAAAAAAATACATCTAACTGTTCACTTTGATTCACTGAAGCCCAGTATAATAAGCTGATGCAAAACTATGTTACTAACACTACACAAACATTAACAGTGTTGGTATTGGTGTGTATGACTAAATTTCTTGGAAGCTACAGTTCTATCAATTTCTACCACTTTACAAATTACGTAAATGTTTTCGCAACTGACAATAAATATTTAAACCAAGGAAAATTATTCCCCCTCTTCAAAGATACTTTTATCTTTTTATTCAAGACAAAAAAAAAAAAAAAATCCTGCTAGTGAGGGACAAAAATCTTATATTTTGAAATCTGGCTTGCCAGATTTATTGTTAATACATATCACCCTCCAATGAAAAATGCAGGTTAATATGTACACAGTTCTTAGGATATCTCAAGAAGGTGGTTACTAACTGAAATATTGTCACTGAGTCAGTTCTAACAGTTTGATTAGGAAGGATATTGTGCTTCTGGACTACTTCCTATATAAGACACTTCTCATACTGTAAAGGAAGCCAGAGGAAAAAAATACTCTTACTACTAGCTAAGAGCTGAACAAACAATCATTCACACAGACATGTGTGATGGTGGAAGTCTTTTTAGTACACTTCAGACAATAATTCTATTATATTACAACAGGGAGGTAATTTGCCATTCTTTAATCAATTATGATTTCATTTTTTCCCAGGAAGCATTTATATTCATTATCCAATTTTTTTCTCATTTATGTACAGTTTTCAAAATTTACAGCTTACAGTCACAGTGAGCTGCGAATTACAGTTTTGTTTTATTCTAGGGTATTTTTATGGTCTCGATTTTGTGGATGATTCAATTAAATCACATGGTACTTTTCATAAAAAGAAGAGATTAAGGCACACGGATTTCCACATTCTGATTTTTTCAGTTCATCTGCTTAAAGAAGAAATAAAAATTATCTGTAGCATTTACCTGTAGAAGGCTGGAGGAGCAGCTTCCCTGATCCCAAAGCTGCTCTGTTCGTTCTCAAGGTAATAGGGTACCTGTTGGCTGTGATGATGGATGAAGGGTGAGAGCTGGGGTGCCGTTTGCAAGAACACCACTGGGCTTGGTGGGACATTGTTCAGTGAGTGAAATCCTGCCAGACTGCTGGACCCAAAAGATTCAGAAGTAGGGGCATAACTGAGAGTAGTAGAGTTGTACACTGGAGCCGTAGTACCGAAATCATAAGTGGCCCCTTCTGGGTAGTTAAAAACTCCTGTCTTGTTGCTCTCCACGTACATGTCGCTGAGTGATCTTTCCAGGGGAATCTTCAGCTGAGGTCTGCTCAGTGTCTCCAGTTCAGTGCCTTGAATCTGGTGCAGCAGGGTAACTCCAGAGGTTTTGGTGTGAAGGGTCATGGTCAGTGCTAATGGCAGTGAGGAAGGAACATATCTGCTTTTACTGTCAACAGTGAGATCGGCAGCTGGCAGTCCACCTAAAAAAAATACCAGAACCTATCCTGAGGCTTAGCAGAAATCATAATAGAGCAGCACTACACAGGTATTCCTTTAATCTCAGCAAGGAGGAGGATATAAACAAATGCAGAGTGAGGACTGAAAGGACACGTTCTCTTTCTCCCTCCCTCCCTCTCCCTCTCTCTAACTTTTAGGAACTCCTCATCTGCGCTAATATGCATTACAAGGTGCTGGCCATGAGCCAGGAACCCTTGCCTTGTGCCGACGTTGGTTTAAACATCACTTCAGAAACAATTAGTTTTGGAGTTATACCAAATAATTGTCCCACTAAATGTTACTTCATTCTTACAAGTCTTTTAATTTTTCACTTCAGGCTAGCCAGTGCTCTGCAGCAACTAACGGGAAAGAACACTTAAATCCAACTAGGAAGAGTAGTCCAGTGGTCAGGCAGATTACTGCCTTTTATTTCCTCAGCAGGCTCCAATCTATCTGTGCTTATCTCTCCTCCTGTTTGATTCATTTTCATGTTTGCTAGAAATATGTAATGTGTACATTGTAATGACCCTGGGTAGGACTATCCTGTAACTGAGATAGGGCAAGGCAGAATATGTGTGTGCAAGCGCCCTCGTCTGTGTGTGTGTGTGTGTGTGTGTGTGTGTGTACAACAAGCCTCAGTCAATAAAACTAGCTAACAAAATTAAAGGGTGTATGATATCTATGTAGAAGAAAAGGTTTATAACATACTTGCACCAGTAATAGCAACTTGAAGTTACTGGAGTGTAAAAACAACATTAAACAGTGAGGAAAAGCTTTTGATCAGCCTAGAAATTTCTGTCTGCTTCTTTTTAGGCTGTAAAATGATGAAATAAAGCATCATTCAGATTTATCATAGGAAGATCAAAAAAGTTCAGAAAAATTTTTGTTTGCATGACATGGGAATTGAATACAGGAAATTCTTTTTCTTAATCCTGTGAACAAAAGCTCAGCAAACCTCAGTTTTTAAATCAGACTAGAAAATGAAGTAACCTAAAATAATCAAATGAGATTGGCTTTAAAATAAACTGAAATGCCTCTCAAAGTTATATTTAGTAGAAAAAAAGAAAGGGGAAGAGAGACAACATAATGAAAAGGTGTGGTATGCATGCTTCATCTTGCAATCTCATTCCATATAATTTTAACTTTGCACAAACCAGTTCTCCTGAACCAGCTAAATAAAAATGTTCAGAAACTGTTTCAAGCTCTCTAGCTTTATTGCTGCGGTCTGTGGTTCAGTCAGTGAAATAGGTTGATGTAAACCCTAAATGCATTAATATGGGCTCGAGTTAGTATGCTTTGAATACTAGCAAAGCCTATGCTATACTTGAACAACTCCACAGTTACTCAGCTCGACCTACAAAAAAACCCAAGAAACTGAGTATGTAGGTCACTAATAGCTTCAAGAAAAGTTTTCTAAAAACCATTTTTTTTTTCAGTAATAATATTATGTTAGCCAAAGTTATTTATATGTGCAAGATTATTCTGAAGGAATACACATTTGTACCTCTGCAGGCACACAGCTTAGACAGCACACACATAAATATGTACTTGATAGATTTCCTCACCCACCCAGCCACCCTCCCTACCCCGTTCAAATTTCAGATTGTAGACTTTGATCAAAGAGATAAGCTTGTTTAAATTACACTGGTGTAAACATATTCCCAGTTAAAAAAAAAAAAAAATAAGCAGACAATCATACCCTGCAGTTCAGAAAGTCTTCGAAGAGTTATTCTGAATATATGCCAGACAGTGGGAGAGAAAAAAAAGAGAGCGTGTGCATGTTTGCATAGAGTGAGCGAACATGCATCTGCAGAGACTCACAAAACAGCAAGCAAGCACAGCTCTCAGCAGCCAGTCTGCTGGGCTACAAAGACTGAAATGAATGCCAGTTATGAGTTTAAGGTCAGTCACTCTTATAGATTTCATTACATGCTTTTGTAATACATAGAAAAAGCATTATCTCGTATTAAACTGCATAATCTGAGAAATAATGTGAATCTGCCTGACATAAGAAGCACCCACTTCTATAGTGTGTTACGAAATAGTCTTTAATTTTTTTTATTTAAATTATTATCCAACATGTATGCTATTTTAGAATTACTATATTGACATGCAATAAAATGCTCAGCATAATAGCTATGCAGAAGACAAAAGTCTGCACAGAGAGAATTGACTTCTAAGTATGTCCTGTGGACTCCAGTGCTCCTTACATGCAGTTTTTTAAAACCTCATTAATTACTTTGGGAGGGTTACATGTTTTCAGGAAGACAAATATTTAAAGTTTCCACCATTTTAATGCAAATGGCATTAAAACACACTATAGGAATAAGTAAAATCACCATCACTTCTGCTCTATACCATTTACCCTAGGCACCCTATGAGCAGCTTTCCACAAGCCAGTGTGGAAAGTTACAGTCCTGCTCC